TGCCTTAACCTCACGAGACGAAGTCGAGTGAGGTTGCATAAGAAAGGTCACGTCATTATGGTATAATTTACGCAAACCCAGAAATCGTCAACGCACCAATGGTGTATCTGTTTTAACCTATAGCTCCGCCCAGAAACACTTACTCCTTCGATCTTCAAAACTGAAAATTATACCATAGTCTGGGTATGGTATAATTTACGGTTATTGGAAATTATACTTGGAAGAAGTTTACATAAGAAGCGTTGAAGAGCTATAGGTTAATTATGATATAAACCATTAACAAAATACGGGAGTTAGAAGATCTTTAACATAACTGTGTATAACATCATACCAGTTACCTAGTGACTGAATTGTGATCGCCATGGTGATGATGATGATCATCATCATGATGGTGATGATTGCGATGGTCATTCATTGTAAATTGTTCAATTCAAAACTGATAGCAAAAGTGAATGTTTTCGTTGCCAACATCGTTTCCTTCTGTCCATTTTAGCACGTGGCACATTCGTTCATAGTTAACCCTTTTGATATTTTAATCTTCGATACAACATACAATCACACCATGAAACTGTGTAAGTGTTATTTAGAGGGTAATATGTACTTTTAAGACGTAGAGGAGTGGTATGGACTGGAATAATTAATGATATGTCCATCCCATATATATTAGCATGCAAGTTTGAATGTAAAGTACATACCTTCAGGTTAACAACGATTTGTACTATTAATTTATTTATTAATACTCATTATAGTTATACATGAACTAGTTACATCATACTTCGGTCACAAAATGTTATGTTCATCACAGGTGGAGTTAATACCACGCACACCATATAAGCTGATTCGCGAAATTGATGTATTAATTGCATATTTTTGACAAGTAGGAGGAAACAAATGTTTCATTAAAAGCAACAGGTTGTGCCAAACTTCTCGACCGGTTGATATAAAAAGGCGTGCTTAATATCGAACGCTACAGTAAATCTACCTGCCAGACACCGTGTATACAATGAAGGTTTTATTTTGCGTTCTTCTGTGCGCACTCGCTTTCAATGCGGTTTTAGCGCTGACCGTGAAAGAAAAAAACATTGCAAACTTTGCAGTTGGCGAGTTGGGGCGTGGTTATCATCTTATTCGAGTGACAAGCGTGGAATCACAAGTAAGTAACATTTTATTTTTATTTTCAATTCAGATAAGTTTAAAAACAAATTTCTTTATTCAATGATAAAAGGCTCGTGTTCATGCTTTAGAATATATCTGCTTTTTTTCATGAAGTCAAATGTCTTTGCACGTAACATTTTGTGTTTCGATGCGTGTAATGCACGAAAATGGGCCAAAATTAATTGGAAATAATACATAAACTAGCTCACTGTAGTTGTTCAAAGGATTTACCAAGCTACCGTTACTAAGATATTTCATCCGACATATGAATGTCATAATACTTTATACGTCATGTGATTATTATTATTATTATTATTATTACAATAATAAATTTGATATTTTTTATAGTTTATAAATGACATATTGAAAAATATTGATCAAATAAATGCATATTTTCGTTTTCCGTATTTTCACCCTTAAAAAATTATTTTTCACTACAGTGAAACATGTGAAAAACGTACATAATTCACGTACAGATTTTTTTATCAATAAAGGATTATGTTCATTTATTACATGCTTTTCGGTGGTTTATAGAAATATATCAGTGAAATAAAACTGGTAATTTCACTGTTTGAAACAGTGAAATTACCACTTTGATAATTTCACTGTTTTGAATTTAAGCCCCTTACGTTGTTTCAGTGAAATACCAGCGTGCACAGTACTGGGTACCAACTTAATGACGTGACGTCGTAAATGACGTCACGTTGTATTATTATTTGGCGCGCTTTTCATTCAGTATTAGGTTTAATGTCTTTTTAAAACGTTTCTTTGCATATAATAAAAAGAAAATTTGTTTAGTTTAGTGTAAGATCGAAATATATTTCACCTTGTGAACACCAAAAGTTCATATTTCACTCGTGGCTGCGCCACTCGTGAAATATACCTTTTGGTGCTCACTCGGTGAAATATATTCCGATCTTACACTGAACTAAACAAATATCCTCTATGTGGTATGAAAATTATAATATTATGAATTTTACTATGTGATATTTTTCGTACAACTCGATGAAAATAAATCCTGTATTTATAGAAAAAAACTTTAATATTATCCGTGTAATAATCATACAATGTTAAGATTCCTTGCGAGATGTCAAATTAAGCAAAACTCACACAAAGAATTATACTTTTACACATTTGTAAAGTCGCAAAATCATTGGATAAGAGTGATTGTTTATATCATCATTATATACGGCTGCTGTCATTTTATGAAGAAATTTTCGGGTTTTTGGTTTTTCTTTGTTTTTCTTGTTTTGTTTTTTGTTTCTTCTTGTTTATTTATTTATATTTATCCTAAAATAGGTCGGTTTTGGGTATTATAAGTCCGATTGATATATTAATGCCATGTTAAACGGCAGTATATAAGTTTTTGTTTGTACTAGACCCGTTTTTACACAGACAAAAATGCCTTTTATGACATACATCTCTTTAACTACTAATCTAAATATAAAAGTTACCCAACCGAATACGAAATCGTTAACATGATATTACAACTTCTCGAAATAATTCAAGTTTTTTTTGCGTTGAGATTATTTGTTGTAAGCTTCTGTTGTATGTCTTAATTATTTTCAGGTTGTGAGAGGAACAATGTATCATGTGAAAGCTAAGGTCGGATACCAAATACCAGGCGGGGTAAGTAGTATTTAAGGCACACACTATCGGGGTAAACGTAGTGAATACTGTCGAATATTTCATTATCAATCTTTCATTTTTAATTAATTTTTCCGATCAGTATAAAGTTTAATATATGAAAAATATATAACACTGTTGATAAACATCGCAGAATGAACCTTATACGACGCGGTCCGTTGCTATGGAAAATTAACCAGATGTAGAATATCATTGCGCATGCGCAATCTGCGTAGGTCAAATTATCATCGGCCACCGTAGAAATGAGATTCTTTAAACTCAAGAATGTTTTTTGGAAAGTATTTAAAGGATAACCATACTCGAGTTTTTGTTTTCAGATTGGGAAGAAATACGACTGTTACATGAAGGTATGGGAGAGACCCAATGGCAGAAAGACACTTGAAGATTCAACCTGCAATTAAAGATAAAATTCACGAGTATACATTATTTATAATAATACATGTATTTATATTATTATTATTTATATATTTTTCTTTCGCTTAGCTCTGTTTAAAATATTTTCAATGGCAAAGTATGCCTCAAAAATGAATAAAATTTGACTTCTTTAAAAATGGCAAACATGCATTTCATTACCTTTAAATACTGGTTTTGGGGGGCATGTCAGACGCTTGGTGTCTGAAGATAGTAGTGATAAATGTGACAAAATATGCCATCAAAGTAGCAAAATGTTACCATCGTAGAATTTTGACTTCCATACAAAAAAACTAAATCATTATAAATGTACTTATTGCCAAATAACAACAGAATAAAATGATAGTTAATGTAATTAGTCAATAAGTATAAAATTTAAGAAACAATAAGAGTACACTAAAAATAAAAAAAATAACTTTTGAGAATTAAAAATATATGAATTTCTGGGGCATGATGTGCCTTTAACATCACAATATTTAAAATCTTAAAAAATCACTCTACTTTGTGAGAAATACATATTCACCAAAAACAAACATTCTTTATAGTGATTCATAAAATGGGATGTATTTTACTAAACAAGCATTTATTTTGTTTGATTCTTAATTCTTTTTTATCTTTTATCTATTTTATACATAGATCAGTTATTCAAATCATGCCCGAACTTCTGGCTCATTATTGATATTATTTTTCCTTCTAATTTCAGTGTTAACATCAAAGGAAAATGAGATGAAAGACTGTTCATGTTATTAAATATAAGTTTATCCTGACACTCATTTTTTACTTTATTTGTTTTACTGAAAAAGTTGGACAATCTAGATTATATAAAATGGTTAAATAAAAAACTAAGAACTATGGAAACCACCCTGCGTTGTAGTTGTTTTCTTTTATTATTCCAAGCTTATGATGTTATGTACGGAAGCCTGTATGGGGCACCGGAATGAAGAGATGATGTCGTATCTGTCCCCATGCAGAATTCCGTAGTTATTACTGAGAGTTATGAGAATCAATTAAACTCGAATTACTAGTACCTAGGAACTTGTAAAAGACGTCTTTCCAGCTAGTACAAAATAAAAAATACACCGGTACTTTACTAAGCCTTACAACGACATGTTATACATGTAAGAGATATCACATGTATAATGCAAAACAGAAAAAACACTTAAAATAAAAATAAATCATTAACAGTTATTGAGTATGGCATTTGCTATGACAAAACTTCATTAAGTTATATCATGTCCTTTTCTTTTCTATATGACATGATGATTACTGTTATTAGTAAGAGTTGAAATGAGACACGTGCTTTCTGATACCAAGGGGTAAATGTCAATCCGCAAGTAAATGCTGATGAAGATTCTATAAGATTCGTTGGGTTCGGTGTGTTTGTGTTGTATATACATGTATTTAATTTATATGTAAACATATCTGAATGATGACACATATCATGAAAATAAACAAATATCTAACCTGGATATAAAGCTGTACGAAAGTTGTCTAGTGTCACAATTTAAGCATTGAACTCCTTATTTAGAGGTCGGGAATCATATAATAAGACAGATACGTTTTTTCATCGTGTGGTGTTTCACTCGTGTTATAGAAAAAAACGTCTTACAATATCGTCTACATATCCAATGGTTCAAAGATAACAGTATAGTATTTTATAAAAAAAAATAATGTGAGAAAATTGCACTATTTATCTAGGTAAGTCGTGACACACATAAATGTATACTGCAAACACATATGTATACTACAGTTTATATTGACACATATGTATGCTACAGTTAATATTGACACACATGATAAACACAAAAATACGATAACAGTGTAGAAGATATCAGAGCGTGTGTAGCTGTTTAGACAAGGAAAAATGATTGCTTATTTTACTGTTATATTTATTGTATTTTTATCATGGAAATTTTATAAGTCATTGAAGAAATGGCTGTACTTGAGAAATCTTGTGGCGGGAATTCCTTTGCATCCAGATAATCATTGGCTATTGGGAATCTTCTATAAGGTTTGTACTTGTTTAAATAAGTTAAACTTTTGAACCGACAATTTGATTTTAATTTTGCTGAGCGGAAAAGTAAAAGTAGGCGAGTATTGACAATGTAATATTACGGTGAATCCGCATTGTCGGCCGTGTTAGATTTTCACTATGTAGGTCCAAAGTGAAAGTAGGACAATTCTCATATAAAGACAGAGTTTACAATATTTAACTTAGTGCATGTATATTCAGATAAATTTGTCTACATTTTTCCTTATTTATTGAAGACATCGGATCGCTTTTGCAGCAAGATGATATAACTGGTCAAACCATTAATGAAGTTTGTTATGTAATTCTGTTATTTACGGATGATATGGTAATATATGGCGATTCTGTAGAAGATTTGCTATCAAGACTGAAATCTCTGAGCGAATATTGTGGCAAATGGGGGAAAGGGATAAACACAGCAAAAACCAAAGTTGTTATTTTTTTGGAAACGAGGGCCAGTAAAAAGAAATGAATATTTCGTTTGTTAATGGCTTCAATTATTTTGGAATAACATTGAATTACACTGTACTTTCGTATTAAATGTTAAAAAGCACTCAGGGCAATGCACACATTGTTAAATAATATCAAAATATACAAAATATATTACATATGATATGTCCGGATATTTCATTGCAACTCTTTGCTGCATTCTAAGGATCAATATTGAATTATGATTTTCCTATTTGGGGGTAAATTGGAACGCATTCATCTACAGTAATCGACAAGTAATGTATATGTGCAGAATTAGGTCGTTATTCTTTATATGTATTGAATACTAGGTCAAGGTTATCAATATGGACAATGAGTTATTTAAATCGGTTTATGCACATCATAGGCGCAGTATTATAATGGCAGAAAAAATGGATTTTTCATGTAAAAAAAAACGATGAATATGGATTTACCTCTGTTTCCGTTAATCATGAAAATGAAAATTTTAAATCATTTGTTAATTTGTTTAAGAAATCAGTAACGGATTGTGCGTGTGCTGATAATGAGAAAAATGAAATGTACATGTTTTTAAAAGCTAGCTTTTGTATACGATTACTTGATTAAAGCATGTACAAATTTAATGATTTATTGAGTTCATTTGGGAAATTTTATATCACAAGCATTTGAACGCAGGGAATTAAATCAACCGAATCTTCAGACATGATTAATAAAATGGTCCCTTGTTAGTAATATAACTTTTATTTCCGTATTGTTGATGTATTTGTATCATTGTATGACAATTTGCTACGAAATTTTTTTGATGGTTTGGACCTATCAAGAGAGCTGCATATAAATAAATTTTATTATTGCACAAATGAAAAATCATTTCCATTTTGATGATATTGTTCTTAAAACTTCTGCTTCCTCCACTACAATTAACGGTCTTGACCGATTTAAACTTTTTAAAAGTCGTTATTCATAAATTTACTTGTCCGTCTGGTGATTTATCACTGTAGGGCTTCAAACAGTTTAACTAAAACTAAAGATAAAAGTAATTAATAAATCTTTTTCTGCACAACGTAAGAAATAGGTACTCTAAACTGACTTATAACTAGTTTTGAAATATAGAAATGTTTTACTTATATCAACAGGGACATACTTTAGATCAAATCAAACAACTCTTCATTGACTTTCTGGACAGGAATTCTCCAAAGTGGTTCACCACATGGCTGCTATTTATAGAACCAGGGTTATACCCGGCTAGCCCGGACGTATTAAGGCAGGTGCTTACAGCAACAGACGTACCAAAGAGACATGGATGGGCGGGGCCATACAGAATGTTCTCGGCATGGGTAGGTATGTATAAATATCTTTTCGTAAGCTTTTTAGCTCACCTGAGCTTGCTCATGATGAGTTTTTAGGATCGTTGAATGTCCTTCGTCCGTCGCCCGTCCTCATTTGTTCGTTAACACTCTAGAGGGCACATTTTTGACCCAATCATCATCAAACATTGTCAGGATGCTTGTCTTGGTAATTGCTCGGAGGAGTTTGAACATCGGTCATCTCGAATGAAAAAAAAATTGTTTTGATGTCTTCTAGGTTAAGTTTGAATATGGGTCACCTGGGGTAAATAACTAGGTCACACCGTCCAAATATGGGGAAAAAACCTTGTTAATACTCTAGTGGTCATAATTTTGCCTCAATCATCATCAAACATTGTCAGGATGCTTATCATGGGTCATCTCGGATGAAAAACCAGGTCACAGGAGCTAAAAATAGAAAAATAATGTTAACACTCTAGTGGCTACTGTTTTGATCAAAATATCCAGTCATTGCTTTAAAATTTGTTTTGGTGATTTCTAGGTCAAGTTCGAATATGGGTCACCAGGGGTAAAAAATAAAGTCACACCTCACAAATATGCAAAAATCTTGTTAACACGCTAGTGGTCACATTTTTGCCTTAATCATCATCAAACATTGTCAGGATGCTTGTCTAGATAATTACTCGAAGGAAGATTGCTGTGTTATAGATTCGTTATAAACATTCCTAACCGTTATATGACCGTAGATCTATATAAACGGTTGTTTGCAATATATTTCTATTTCTACATAAGTTATAACGATTTCGTGACAGGTTATAACGTTATGTCCCGATATAAGAAAACAGTGTTGTTGTGATGCAGCATTTTTTGATAGCAGTTTAAGAATTCTTCTATCAGACTTTTGTCAATCATAACTATATCAAGACAAAGTTTAGTGGGGTCTTTTCGAAGAAATACGTATTCGGTCATTTCCGTCATTTTCCGTATCTTGTATGCCATATGTTTTGCTGTTGGACCTCAACATAATATCGATTGTAAATAAGTTATGAAAAACTGAATGCATAATACGAAAAATGATTTATTTTCCCAAATTTTAAAAGCTATTTTATAATATATTTTCACAAAATAGTATACAAAGTAAAAGAAAATTTCTGCAAAGTGCCTTTATCGCTGAATTTATTTCATTTTAAGGAGATGGTCTTCTAGTGAGTAATGGCAGAAAATGGGAACGGAACAGACGTTTATTAACGCCGGCTTTTCATTTTGACAATCTTAAACCTTACGTTAGCGTGTACAATCACGTAGCTGAAATATTAACGGTAAGTTATTAATTGTATTTCGATAACTAGCTTGAGCGATGGTGTCGGCGTTGGTTGGGCTTTTTGTTAAGGTCCATTTTCTCTTAAACAACAAAAGTTATTTAGTTCAAACTCAGAATACATATTTATTGTCATGAAAGGACGCCATTTCCGTAAAAGGTGTCCACTTGAAACTTGTTGACTATAGAGGGCACGTTATTCTTGCATAGCAGACTGGGTTTTCTGTGAGTTTTACCCGTACCGGAAATTTCATGTGGCATAGGGGGTGCCAGATGAGTCGCGTGCCATACAACAACGTCATTTTAGCGCAATTTATGAATGAACCGAATTAAAATGACGTCATTTCGACACATTTTAGAAGGGAACTATTTGCTAAGGATGACGTCATTTCGGCGTTGTTAGTAAAGTTGTAAATTCATACGCTATTGTAAGAAAGTGGTTATCGGTGAATATAAATATATGACTGATATCATTATTAGTCTGCTGAGCAGAAGTATGCACCCTTTTCTATGTTGCTTTTATCTTATAATCCAGTACAAAGAAAAGTGGAGCGTGCTGTCGGCGGACATGTCTTGTATTTTGTTACTGAAATCTTTTGTTTTCAAATTGACCGTTTTAAATTCAAAGTAGGGCAGATACATTACACAAATTATGCACGTTAAAGGTTTATTCGCTTAAACATATATACCATGAGTCGGCACTTCCCAAAATGTATGTTAAACACTTGAGTCGACCATATGTGTGTGCCATTTAATTGCGTTTATTTCTTGCACGCATTGATTAAAATATTACGAACAATCTATTTTGCTTTGTATGTCAATTGATATGTGTTTTTTCAAACATTAAATGCATGTTAAAAATTCATCTTTATACATATCTCAGACATATGATTATTTGAAATTACGTTTTTTACGTCTGTTTTAAATTTTAGGATAAGATCAAGGAGATATCGATGTCTGGTGAAAGTGTTGATGTTTACCCGATGGTGAGTCGAGCAACATTAGACACCATGTTGAGATGTGTGATGTCGTACAACGATGATACCGTACAAAATACAGGGTATAAAATACTAATGTGTTACAATATTTGCATATTAAAGGAGGTCAAAAAGTCTAAAAACATAAAATGTGATATTCTTTCCTATATTTGGGGAAGCATTTAAAGAACTGCAAAGGAATATGCAATAATAAAAGATAGAAACAGAATTAAATTCAATATTGATTGAATATCGATTATTTGTGCGATTCTTCCACATTAGTTTGAAAATCGTTCAAACGCTTTTCATTTTTGGCTCAATTTGCACAAGAAATTTGATTATTTTCTGGAAAAATTGAGTAGGGTATTGATATGTAAATTCGCACACAAGTTATTGGCTTAGATCTTTATCAGATGGTAAGTAAATCCCAGTAAATATTTCCAGTATTTCCCGTCATGTCAGAAAAATGTCAGTGGAGTCCCTTTAAAGAATGTTTTCAATAAAGCATATGGTGATGTTTCAGACAGGCTGTTACTTCATGACATTCTGTACAAACATTGTTGAACTTAGGGAATACATATCTTATCATATATATAATATATACTCTGATATTTTGATACATTACGCATTGAAAAGAGGAACAATATGCCGTTAATAACATCACGAGATTTACGTCAACGTAAACCAAGTTCTCAGTAGTGACCTTATTCCGTAAATTGTATTTTCTGTCAAAATTCTTTAATATCATAATTTTGTATGTCTATAAATATGCAAGTTCTATTTTGACCATTGCACCTTTATGTTTTTGTCACGAAATTATGCTATGTTTACAAGTTTAGGTACATGTCTACGTAAAATATGATTCGGAAAATCAAATTCATCTCTCATTGCTAAATATAGTTATTAACCATTATCTTGTTAATATGCCTCCAGAAGCATAAATTGAAATATTTTTCTAAAAGTTTTAATTTTCTGTTAAACTTTATAGTCATGCGAGTTGTCTTGAATAATTTTTGTCAACTGTTTTTAAATGATTTTAGACAAGTCAATGTTCAATTGGCAGAAAACTATTTCAAGTTACAGCTGAGTGGTCCTTGGATTGTATATTTAATCAAAACTTAAGCATATCTATTCTAGGAAGCAACATTCGTATGTGGCTGCGACTCATAGGCTTGGCAAATTGCTGATGGATAGAGTTATGTAAGAATTTTATCAGATAAAAATCTTATTTGACTTTTTACAAGAAAAATTATTTTAGAAAGTTACTTGATAATAAACTGAATGATAATATGTCACGCTTCGAATTCAATGTTTTTAAAGGGAATATCTTTGTAAGAGGGAAAACGCTATGTAAAATTAAACTAACACTGTTGCCAAAATCATATGGAAAATATTTTTTTTTGTTTTCACTGAATGTTTTTAAAATTCACAGTCTGACAATAGTTTTCAGATAAAAAGCATTTGTTGGTAATGAAAAAATGTAAATGGCTGACAAACAATTGCTTTGGTAATCAGGCAGTTATGTGGTGCATGACTGTTATAATACGCGAGTAAGGGAAGTAAATCAGAGATAAATGCATACATGTACGAGTTTATTGTAAAACTCATTTTGTACTTAGTTGATAGTTGATTTAATATACTTAAACTGTCTTAACACATGCATTATATATGTTTCAGAAACCCGTTCATATATTATGATTTTATCTATTATCGCACGACTGATGGCAAAGAGTTTAAGAAACTTTGTAATGAAGTGCATGACTTTTCATCTAAAATTATCGACAAAAGAAAAAGGGAAATTGTAAGTTAGAATTTAGTTCATAAAAATAATAATTACTTTATGATATAAAGCATCTGTAAAGTGGATTTGTATTTAAACTGGTACGAACCTTATTCATTTTTAGGGGTTTGAATATTTAAATATTAAAATTCAGTTACGGACACACTAACCGCCTCCGTGGTCGAGGGGTTAGAGTCCGATGACTTCTATTCCAGTTACCTCTCTGGTGTGGTTTCGATCTCTAGGAGATGCTTTGGTAGTTTAGCGCAGAGGAAAGGTAGTCTAGTACTGGTGTAACTCTCCAGGAACCATGGTTAGGAAATTACCCGCCTATATGACTGAAATATTGTTGGGAAAAGGCGTAAAATCAAACAAACAAACAAAACGAACACACTAAATGTTCACCAAACTCTGTAATAATGTCATTGGAAAGGATATCTCAAAGATATTGGCCGACTGACAAACTCCGGAATGAAGGATATTTTGGGTTGTTTCAAAGTTAATCCTGGGGGTACAATCTTTTTACAGTTACAATTTCGAAATTAAGTGCAACATTATATATGGTAGTACACGGTAAAAGCTGGTTTGTATCGGGTCATTAGCTAGGAAAAAGCCACATTTAACGAGTTCTGGATACCGATAACGAGTACTTATTGTTGCATAGTTACCCTAAAGGTGTGTAATAGTAATGAGGAATATGTCTGCACAGTATTTACAGAGCCGGGTGGCGATTCGAAGACCGAGATGGCGTAGCGATCGAGGTTTTGAAAAGGCCACTCGGGTCTGTAAATACTATGCAGACCTATTCCGAGTAACTATCTTACCTACATGCTCCAAACATTATCTTTTTATTCAGTATTTATTAATATTACTCACATGAGACCAATTATTTATATATATTATTCATCTAATGGTACATATTATGCCTCAGAAATGAATAAATTTTTCAATCTTTAGAAAGTGCAAACATTTGTGTTATAACGGTTAGATAATGGTAATAGGTGTTGCTTAACAACATTTATCCCTATACCTGTACCATAACTGCAAGAAAAAGATGGTTGAGGTGATTAGTCAATTACATAGAACCTTTTTGTAAACTATAACAGGATACGAAAAATTCAAATATTTTGAGAGACATAATATGGGCCTTTATAATTAAGTTCAGTTTAATACTACCATACACAGTTACCGGTACATAAGGATAAAGCGATGTGATATTAAGTTGTTAATGGTACGATGATAGAGGAACTTCTAATTGTTTTAGGATGCTGGTGGACCTCAACAGGGAAAAAGATATCCGGACTTTCTCGATATATTGTTAACTGCTAAGGATGAGAATGGTGCAGGATTATCATATGCCGAGATAAGAGATGAAGTTGACACGTTCATGTTTGCCGGTGAATTTAAGTTGTATTTGTATTAAAGGAAAAAAAGAAATTTATTAAAAGCGTGTGTTATAAAGTAGTACTGAACATGATTAATAACAACTCTTAATCTATATAGCATAAACAATTTGTTTTTAGCTCCACAATTTAAAGAATAGGGAGAGCTATTGTACTCACCCAGGCATCGGCGTCACACTTCGGTTAAATTCTGCGTACAAGTTGGTATCTCCAACACTACACATGGGCATTGGTTGAAATTTTACACAGTTTGTTGAAAACATAGTAGTAGTTCACTTTCCAAGGCTCTTAACTCTGATATGGATTTATTCAGAGTTATTGCCCTTTTTGAAGTAAGAAAATTTTGCATTATCCAGGCTCTTGTTTTACATTAAAGGACATGACACAACTGCCTCGGTTATTAGCTGGGTACTTTGGTCATTGGCAAAACATCCGGAGATGCAAGATAAAGTAAGAAGTGAAGTGGAATATGTATTAAACGGGAAGAAAGTACCAGATTCGTAGGTATTTTTTTATTTTTTTTATCTATTACATGCGTTTCAATAGTTAAACGCTGGATATACAGACAAAAAAGCAAGCGCAACACTACAAATGAGCTTGAAATTTTTTTAAGATTTGATTTCTTGAAGTAAAATTCCAAAATTGTTTCAAACAAGATCAGCGTTCCTTCGTAAGGCGTTTTGACATTTATGGACAAATTACATATTTTTGAAGTAACAAATATTTTTTTGATGTAAAAGTATTTTACCTGTGTGTATGACTTTGGTAAAAGATCAGATAAGAAGATACTACAAAGAAATCAAGGCGTTGTGAATTACATGACGTTATGAATCACATAACACTTCACTTAAATGAATGCTTAATCAAATTGTTTATTTACAGAGAAGACATCGGAAAGTTTCAATACATGGTTTGTTTTATAAAGGAAGTAATGAGATGGTATACCCCGGTACCTGCTGGCTCTAGAATATTAGAACGCCCATTAACAGTAGATGGTGTAACTTTTCCTGCAGGACAAATTATTGATCTACATTATTACTTAGTTCATCATAATCCGGCGGTATGGGATGACCATTGGGTAAATGAATTTCTTGTTTATTGAATTTAAATTGAGACTCTTTTATTTGCGCTGGGTCATTATACCTTAACAGTTAGTCTTTGCTAAGCCTACCCGGATGGTTGTACTGTTTGACCAGATTCTATACTACTGGTGGCGCTAGTTCTGTGACAGTGAAATTTCAAATGGACCGTTCCATATTCTATTGCATAATTTTAGCAGGTTAAGGGTTAACTTCAACAAACGTAAATTTAAAATCTTAAAGTACAATATATATGCTAAACGTAATATTTATGGACATTCACTCTAAAGTATATATGTAGAGAGACATATATGTGGATCCCATTCCTTAAATTAACTAATTCTGTCACACTTGACTGTTTACTATTACAGACTTATTCCTTCTGTTGTCTCTTATTCCAGTTTTAATTCAACTGTCTTATTTATGAATCATTCTTCCATCAATTTACAAAACTTTTAGAGGAATTTACGATGTGTTGTAATTTTAGGCATTTCGACCAGAACGATTTTTGGCAAACAATAGCGTTGACAGATGTCCGTTTGCCTTTATCCCGTTTTCTGCGGGTCAAAGGTAAGTTCTCTCAGAAAACTCCTAGTTGTTATACCCCGCCATGATAACGGCAAGGGGAATTAAAGTGTAACTCCTGTCAGTCCGTGCGTGGGTGCTGCGTGCATGTTTCCGAGAACCATAGTTCATGCTTCAAGGAATTTTCAGATATTTTGGCACAAATGTTAAGCATGGGGACACGTATGTCATTCGCAAGATCTTAACCCTAGCTCCAAGGTCAAGGTTACTACTAGTGGTCAATGGTCAACAGTTGTAAGACCTTGCCAGGTTCATAACTCTGCTGTGCATCACGGGATTTTGAGTAATATGGTACAAATGCTGAGAATAATAAGACGGTGGATCATGCCGAGGACCTAGACCACGAGCTTCAAGTTCAAGGTCACATTTAGAGGTCAAAGATCAGCAGTTGGAAAATCTTGCCCGGTTCATTATTCTGATATGCATAAAGGGATTTTAGAATAACTGGGCACAAATGTGTAGCATAATGAGACAATGAAATGCCCAATACCTTGACCCAAGCTTTAATGTCAAGGTTTCACTTAGAGGTTAGAGAATGTTCTCCAGCCCTTAACTTTGTCTTGTGTAAAGGGATTTTGAAACAATTCGGCAAAAATGTTAAGCATAGTAAGCACAAGACCTAGACACTATAAAACGAGTTATTTATGAAGAACAAAGTATGAACTACAACATCTCAAATGTAAGAATAAAATTTCATCATCTTATGTGTCAAATTAAATTTCATTTTTAGCTTTTCTGTTTCGAAGAAAAAGTCGACCTATTGTTAGCGCTGTGGTCCCGTCGTCGTTGATGACAGACAAGGGGCATAATTCTGAAAGTAATATTTATAGTTATGCCCCTTTTTAACTTATAATTTTAACAGACGAGCGTGAAAACCGCATGCAGTGCTCTTATGTTGTTGTTTTTTTACTGATTTACTGATTAAGACAATTAATATGCTTCATTGTAATATTACAGAAACTGTATCGGACAAAATTTCGCAATGAATGAGATTAAAACAATCATTGCTCGTGTTGTTACCAGGTAAGATTTTCTTCAAGTACTTCTCTCGTTTTCCTCATACAATCATGGATTTCTAAGATGAATAACAATGGCGACATATTCCTTCTATTGAAAACATTTATCTTCTGTTTTTGTTACACCAATATTGTATTATCAAGTTACACCGGTGATAGAAAACCATTTTGTCAAATTATATAAATTCAATTTTAAGGAAAAGGTTTGATTTGTTTGTTTGATATTCCATGTACTGTGCAGAAAGCACTATGACACTCGTAGCTCACACAAATTAAGCATATGGTAGCTAGGAGCAACTGGTTCAAACCCTTCAGTCTTTGATACTCTAGGTGTCTCCGAACTAGCCAATAACAAGAATTCCAGTGTATGTGAGTACAGCCGTAACACAGTTGGATATCAATATTTTCCATTACTACAAACATGAAGTAAATAGCTGTAAAACGTAAAAATGATAAAACGTTAAATCATTCATATTGTAATAGACGTCGCTTAGTTTTTCCACTTTTTGTTAACCCTCCATCATTATATATTTTCAGTAGATGATATATAAAAGTTATACACGTATTTCAGGTTTAACTTGCGTGCTGACCAGACAAAGAAGCGATTCCACTGGCAGAAATTGTGACAAGGGCCAAGGATGGAATATACATAAACTTTATTGAAAGATGATTATATTACATACAAGATTATATCATTTACATGGCATTACATTTTATTACATACGTAATTGTAACACAAGACAAATCACTTTACTTTATTTGCCAGTTCATAAAAAATCAAATACGCAAAATTTACGATATGGTGAATAGCTCATCTGTGGATATTGAATATTTAGACATAGCGTAACAAAATCTCGCTTGGATGCGTGTGAAATATAGCATGCATTCTTGTTAAATTGTGTTGTTTTGGATTTTTTGTTGTTGTTGTTTTATTGGTATTTTTTACTTTCCCTTTACTTATATCCACCTTACTGTAATCAGAACTAATCGATTTCCTGTACTATGTAGGAAGAAATAAGAATAACACCACTTTAGAAATAAGCTTTCAATCCTAATGAATAATCCGTGATCTTAGATCATTTGAATTAATTTATCAGTTAGGTCTTTTTATTCTTTTTCAGCTTAATGATATTGGCACTTCCTATATTCCCTCTAACAGATATTAAGATTTAGTTTTTATTTTAACTTAATATGTAATACCTAAAATATTTTGAAAAGTAACTATCTTCCTAATTCTGTAATTTGGCTTATAAATACAAGTCATTATATCTGTGACTTTAAATGTCTGTACACCTATATGTATTAACAAGTTATATTATTCATTTTAATGCATTTTTTGAAATTATGAAATGCTATGTTTATTTGTTGCAACTTATTTGCATAGTGGTTTGTATGTTACAAAATAAAATAATAAATATATGTGTTTATAGTCTGATATTAAGGGAAATAATTACTTTAACCCTACATGATATATCATGAGTATATTATCTCCCTTTGACAGCGATCCTGTATATTTACAAAACGGTCAATTATATTACGATATATAAATATTTATTCACAAACTGGTTGGGTCATATGAATTTAGATACGAAATCTCTGCATTACATTATATTTTTTACAAGTCATTTTATTGCAATACATTTCCATACATTACTGGATGCATAAATTTATTTTTTTGCATTACATAACTTTAGAATTCAAACTATTGTATTTCAATTCAATGCTTTTCGTGAAACTATATTTTACGAATAAATTTTTTTTAAAATGTAAAAATGTATTGCGTATCTTTCAAATTTGATAGAACTTGATGTGACTCGGTATTACCATAGTTATTTAAGCTTTTGAAATATTTTATCTCTGTCGAAACGATTATGCTAGGGTAACATTATAAAATTTCAACAAATACACGTAGTATTCAATACTTCGGAGTGTTAATAGTTAGTGTATTGATCTAAATATTATTCATCGACTGATGAAGTGCTACCGGAAGTTTGTTTTGTCATATTGCATCTGGATATAGTATATCCGCATATTTCTCGGGAGGAAATAAAAATATTTTGTCTTGTTTTGCCTTGTCTTTTTAACTATTGGTGAGGAACAAGTCGGCATCAACTTTTTGTTTGAGTTATTTACTGTTGTTGTTGTTTGTGTTGTTTGTTAGTTCACCTTGTGATCACTCTCCGTTCGTCAAGCGTCCGCCAACGCGTATTTGCTTAACTACTGTATTATTATTATTTTATTATTATTATTATGATTATTATTATTATTATTATTATTATCAAGTTTGAAACTTTAATTATTATTATCAAAACTTTCCAGGGATGAACTCATCCACTTAAAAAGTTGTTAAAAAATCATTCCATGCAGAATCTTGTTGTCAAGGCAACTTAAAGGACAAAAAACTGCAAAAATCTGCATCTCTAAAATCAAAAGATACGTGAAACATGACATTACTACAATGATCTTCACATGTATGTCAATATACATAGACGTTTTTATCTCACTTTGTTTGCGTGATATTTGAATAAAACTTATATTAGGTCAAAAACAAAATGTGATATTTTCCTGCTTCATTTTGTTTTGAGATTGAAATATTTGAAATATTTGTTTCAGCAAAGAAATATCTGCACTGCATTCCACAATTTAAGTGCATAAAATATTTGAATCAAAAGGGAGTGCTAAACATATGCAAAGATAACATAGGCATGAAATATTTTAGTAAATAAAACAACGGTATAGGCAGTCATAATTTAATTAATTGGCACAATATTTCAATAGGGATGATGACCGAGTTAATACAGGGGCGTATGTATCAAAATCAGGGTCAGGTATGTAACGCAGTTATGTGAATAAACCGATAATCTCAGGCTTAAAAAGGAAGTGCGCGGATCGGCTTTCACGAGTGGTCGATTTGAAATAATACGGGACAAACTGAAGTATTTAATTAATATGGTACGTTTAGGGATTAGCCTTTGATATTTAGTTGTTTTTCCTACATTCTGGGCGAAGTTTTTATTGTTTTCGGTCACAAACCTTGGTTTTAGTTTTTTTCCCTGCGTAACAGGTATTAACAATCGATTTTGATGTAATATTACGGCACCTTTCAAGTTTGCAGAACGACAGTAATTTTGTTGTTGCTGCTTTTTTTCTTTCTGTCTTTGTTTTAGATTTCAGTGTTTATATACATTAACGATGTAACTTTTATACCAGTTTGATTGTAACGGACTGACTGTACTTAGGTAAAATGCTTAAAAAATATTGGGTGTTGGACAATGAATTCCCTTATGCACTCGATATGCTATTTATTATTGAAATGCACGTCGAAAGGGAATAATTTCATGTTATTTTATAAAATCCAACATTGCTTCGGTATTTCTTGACTATTTCACGCGATTTGTTGATTCAGAACACTTGGATTGTTTCAATATATAACAGTTGGTACTAGATGGTATAAGTTCATCAGAATATTTCAAGTCATAGTTTTCATGAAGGAGATATATAGTTAAAATGTACCAATATTGCAGAAATCCTCAAATGATTAAAACTATAGCATTCGTGTAGTGAAACATCTCCAACTAGTGTATGTAACGATTTTTCTTCAACTTTAATTCATATACGATCACGAGTCAATTTATATTTATATGATCACTTATAATTTATCTAAATTTGTATAATCTTGTATAACATTTTTACACTTTAAAGAAGATAAAATATATAGGTCAACGATTCCACATTCCTATCTATCATAATAGAATTAAGATATTTGTATTAAATGATGTTTATTCAACAGATTTCTCACCTTATGAAAGGTCTACAGTCCGGGTATAACAACATTCGCTATGAATCGTCATTATTTTACTATCTATTTTGAGCCCAAGAAAAATCCTTAAATAAATATAAAACAATGGCAAATTAATTTCACTTGAAGAAATGTTTCAGTTACCTCACTGTGCTCATGGCAATAAAGGTAACAAAACATTATACATTTATCCATATTGATTGTTCCAGTGTCCTCTTTACTGTGATTTTTTTTCTTGTGGTTTTTAGTGTTCTAACTTTATCCTTAACTAGGATGAGCAATATGTTGTGTTTTCTTTATCGTTTTGTTTCTTATTTTATCATGAAACAAGTGAGTTTGTTAACTTCTAGATTATTCATGTGCCCATACACATGTTGTTAAGAATCTACATACTCTGTCACTTATCAGTCCGGATAGGAAATGTTTTAATATTGTATGGTGGCCAAAAAGCCAGTGTGTGAATATCGATTGCTCCAGCGAAGAAAACTGATTGTGTTCATGAAACGGGTAAAGATAACCTGGTTTACCACATTATTTAAAAGTTAAACTTCAATCACGTATGATAATAAGTCACGTATTAGCAATACGAGAATAAACAGTAAAGGTAGAAGAAAATATCACTTCCAAACAACTAAAAATAAGTACATCGTTATTTACTCATGAGTGTTTTTTCTCTTTGTTTTGTTTTCTTGTCTTTCAACTCTACAGACCTCCCTATTCCAGAAAAGCGTGTATTAAGCTTGTTGTTGCAACTCTAAAAGGAATCTTCCACCTCCTTAGGTTTCTTTGACAATATCTACTTAACTCTTGTGCCTTAAAAGTGTGCTGTGTTGCATTTTCCAGTGCAACCCAAGCCATGTTCAATCAGGACAAATCAGATTTGCTCTTAGCAATGCATGCACTTTCTTTGTGAAATTGTCGTATAGAATTTTAAAATGTTCTGCATGTACTTTAAATAATAGAAATGATTTACTAGATTGATGAAGATTATAGTGTTTATACTATCCAAAGTCTATTTTTTAATTCTAATAATACAAATCAGAGTCAAACTGCATTTTTATAAAAAAAAAACTGTAAAAAGTTGTTTACAAAAAATATCAAATATGATGTTTACGGCAGAGGTTGACACCAATGTTGTCCAGATTGACAGATTCATTATAAAAAAATGTGATAAATGTAAAAGTAAAGCGTTTGATAGATGACATATTAAAACGTAAACATCGGCGTTCATAATTGATGTAAAATTCAAATATGAAAATAAAATCATGTATTACGTCATATCGTTGCGTGTCCAAATACGCGCACCTGCTTTGAAATTAACTTTGTTCCTGAATTGTGAAATTAGATTATCTTTACATGTACATATTTACTAGTTTGTTAATTGATATGGTTCAAATGTTTTTATGTTAAAATATGAAATAAAAACACGCAACTGTCACAAAAAATTGATGAAAGTTAAAATGAACAAAAACCGGGCGTCCTTGGCCGAGTGGTAACGTCATTTACGTCAAACCACTTGCCCCTCTCCGTTGTTAGCACAAATCCCACCAGAGACTTTAGGTTCTTTCATGTGCGGAAACTTCCCAGATAGTTTCGGTGTTCTACTCAGGTACCCTGACTGATGTCCAACGGAAAGTCGCCGTACGACTTTTACAGGGTTAGTGCAACGTTAAACCAAAACCAAGAAATAAAGATATGGTCCTCATCATAAAGATAAACTCTAATTGACCGACAGGTAATTTATTCAAGTATCAGAAATATATGACAAGTACCCGACATTATAGTTGACAAAATTGATTATGTCATTTTTAAAACGTGGAAATCCAAACCTAATGTTCTCGCTGAAAACTTGCCAGATGTACTTCTGTTAAATCACTAAAAGGATTGTTTTATAACATGTACATGCTCTAGTTAGTTTAAAACAAAAACGATTATATCTAAAATACAGTTTTATTGTTATTCCTTGTCAACACTGGTTTAAAATTACATCTATCATGTCTTACAATCTTCGGAAGAATTATATTTTATTCAAAAAATGTTACAAAAATAATACAATGTATATCTGTATATATACGATTTGACAAAGAAAACCCTAAAGTTTAAATATGACATCAGATAACATACCGAAAGTAGTCCCTAAATTCCACCCATTTTGGAACAAATACAGATTTTTTAGTGGCGACGTACACTAAGATATCAATATTGTGTTATCTTTATTATTTTCCCTTGACATTACTAAACCAAGGTTGTCTTAACTAACTGTGTTAAAGAATTGATGAGTATCACTGGGGTCCCTATCTGATCTAGGCCAAACTTAAAAACAAAACAATGTTAAACACTGCAAAGATTATGGCAATTGTCCGTCCGTGTTATAAGAAAATAAGAATCGAATGAAAAATGAGCTGGGTTTGAAAATGACTCAACTTAATAAGGCCATATACTGCCGGATAAAAAAAACTTTACATCATCAAAAAATGTTTGTACCTTTTGTTTAGGGTTAAAATTCCATTATGTAATTCTGAAAAATAAAAATCGTATTCAACGTTTTATATCTTTTATTAATCTACTCCAGGAGGACAGGATTCTCACTATTTATTTGAACTGTTTTGTTTCTTTTATAGCATTTTTTGATTTCACCATTTATAAAAAATAAACTTTTTCAGTTAAAAACGTCCATAAACCTTTTTTTCTTATAAAGTTGTTACGAAAAGCACTGGAGATTGTTTTTTTTTTTTTTTTTTGTTTGTTTGTTTGTTTTGGTTCAGTGCCATTTTGTCTCAATATTTATCAACCTTTACCTGCAGAATATCTTAATCAGACTTGTCTGCACTT